ATTTAATAAGGTAGGTACGTATTTTACTTTTCTTGGTTTTATATTGAGTAGCGGTAGAAGAATATCCACTACCCCCTATCATCCGGTGGGTGTTGTAAGAGGCGACAGAGGGAAACAGATCATATGGCCAGCAGCGTCTTCCTACTAACGACTAAAAATAAAAAAATAAACTTCGGTTGTCAATTCGCCTTCAACGCGTGGCAACTACGGCAATATCCCTCTAATGAGGCAATCTATGGGGCGCCATGTTCAGCGTGGACTTAAATAGACTGTAATGGTAACAGTATTTTGCTGGCATATACTTTAGGCAGAAATGGGTAAGTTTAAACGTTATTTTCATTTAATACTTAAATGATATTTGATACAAATAACGACGGTAATTAAAAGGCAAATCCGAACCTACGACTTTACTACGACATACCATTCAGTAAATTTACCCAACGGCATAGCTGATGGATAACATCTTTTTTACTAGTACAAGCGTCATTCCATTCATTCTCAGGGGTGACAACGCATGTGCAAAATTCGTAATCGAAAACAGGTATGAAAGTCAATTATAGTAAAACACCTAGTAAATTGCACAGTGGTGAGCCGCCAAGCATCCAGATAGTGTGGATGGTATCGTGAGTTTTGTTGCGATGTGCGTTGGTGAAATATATCGGCTTGTATTACCAAATACGAACAATTCTTCGGTGCTCTCCCCGAGGTAAATGCGATAGAAAATACAAAGGGATGCAACATCCCTTCGCAACGCCAGTGAATTGAACCGATCAAAAAGTACCTGGTCGTCGGCGATTCGAGTCGCTCTTCACTGGATGCGGTCAAGTGGAAGGAGCTGGCACTGGGGTGTCTCGGCCCAGAAATTAGAACAGTAGATGTTCAGTAAATTTACATATGGTATGTGTCTAAAACTAAAGTTGCAAGCGGTGTGCCGGCATGAAATACTGTCCCACTCTGTTGGAGACGCCAAGCTTTTGCATTTAGTTGGATTGACGGTGAAGAACCATCAAAGAAAATGTCTGCCGTAGGTACTCACAAGAGGTATAAACCTCTTCTTATTACTTTTATTCTGTGTTCTTGCTCCTTAACGTAGGTCCTTGTAGTCAGACTCGGGAATTTCTTCTTTGGCGGACATTTTAAAGTAATGAAATTTATCCCTGACGTTAACAATATAACCATCAGTCAAAGTTAATAAATTAATTGCAATGTACATTTTTATGGTTCCGTACCGCAAAAGGAAAAAACGGAAACTTATAAGATCACTTTGTTGTCCGTCTGTCTGTCTGTCAAGACCCTTTTTCTCAGGAACGCGTGGAGGTATCAAGCTGAAATTCATATCAAATAGTCAAGTCTACTGTCTCTTGAAGCTATGAAAAAATCAAACTTCTAAGCCAACGCAATCAAAAGATACAGCCGTGTATGCCGCAAATCTTCGACACTCGCAAGGGAATTAAAACCTACAGGGTACTTCCCGTGAACTCAGAATCTTAAAATTTGATACGAAGCAACGTATTATAGCACAGATAAAGGAAAAATTACGAAAAGCATAAATTTTTAGTTACATCTTATAATAAAAATATTTTTAATAATTTCAAACTTATATACATACTTACGGATTTGTTCGGAACCCTCGGTGCGCGAGTCCGACTCGCACTTGACCGGTTTTATTATTGTTTCTCTCTAAAGGTTGGTTGACTTGTTTTGTCTATTCTTTCCAATTGCACGAATTGCCAATCAGTGTGTGCGAACGATACGCACGAGCCAATCAGCGCGGCTTATGCCCAATAAGCCAATCAGCGCGACTTATGCGCAATAACGCTCACCGCTAGACTTTCGTGCCGCTATACTGCTATACCCAATCGTTATATAATATCGCCTAATATACGTGACGATTTCGAGAAATCCTTCCTGCAATGAAAATGGCCCCATGGTCAGCAGTGAAAATTTTCGAGCTGACAAAGATTCTGTTATAGTTTCAACGATCGACCCGCTCCATTCACGATCCAGTATCTAGTTACAGTATGGTTCTACCACATTTTATTATACCAATATTCCTTTGAGATGAAAAATTTAAAAATAACTCTTCAAGCGATTCTATATTTCAGACTAGCACCTGCGGCTATATTATTGCTGCATCAGGATTGTGCCTTCTCGACCGGGAGGAAAAAGGACCGTGCCCTCATAAAATACCAGCGTAAAATAGCAGCTTAGTGGTGCTGTTTCGTATGGTGAGTAGAGCAGAGACCCTTAGTAATGATAACATCTACATTTATATCATTAACCCAGGTCAGATGGGCCACAGCACCCACTAATCTATTTAAATCTACGGCCGGATTGGACCTTTCTAAGAATACAATAACTTGGTAGACTTGCACTTTTTGAACAGGTAAGTTGGTGAGTGTAGTCGATAAACTAGCTGTTTCTCGACACCAATCTGTGAAAGGTTGAGTTAGACTTCTTTTGGGTGGATTTTCGCCATCAGTCAGCTAAGTTAATGCCTACTCATCAAAATTCATTAAGGCACTAAGGCTACAACGCGATACTTATAACAAGTGAGTATTGTGTGCCTTATCACTGTTTGCCGTCGCATCTTCTACCAATGAACTTTTTCAAACAGTACGGCTGTAAAGATTTGACCTATGTCTAAAAGAATAATTAAAAATTAAAAATTTTGTACAGCCGACTTCAATATGTTATTTAAGAATAACTCAATAACCATTGGTCTGACATTGATCAAATTCATGTGGGACCACACGAGAACTATCAGCTTTCATATAAAAACAGAATCATCCAAATCGGTTCACCCAGTACAAAGTTATGAGGTAACACACATAAAAAAAACATACAGTCGAATTGAGTACCGTCTCCTTTTTGGAAGTCGGCAGAAAAATAAAACACTTCTGTTCTGCGTACTATTTTTATTAAGGTACAAAAGTAATAAACTTTTGACATAATTTCATTACAGTAACAGTCCGTCCTCCGTTAAATTTCTGAATTGTAAATAAAAACGCTAATAAATCAAATTTTTCATACCAAAGATAACAATAAATAGGTATTTAGATAAAAAATACTCAAATTTTAGTTCTACAAGAACCTTTATAATCAGTATTTGTATTTAAGCCAATATGAATCGCTCGACCGCATTCATTTAGATTCGTGTAGAGTAAAACATATCTTAAGTTCGAAATAAAAACCACAATAATTGTCTGAAATCTAGAAGCACTAGAAAGAAAACCATACACTTCGTGTTACTAATAACTGTATTATTTTTGGTGGTTCCACAAAATAATGCTAGGTATAAAAATATATTAAAATAATATTAACATTTTAATTTCAATTAATTAATAATATCATCATTATTTTTCTTTGTATTCGGTAGCGCCATGGTTAGGAGCCCGCTAACACAAAATAAGAGCATTTTTTTATAGAATAAAGATGACAAAGGAGCATACAGTCCAACTAAAGGTAAGTGGATGCTGTGGCACATAGACATCTACATCTATACTCGGTTACCAGAGGCTTTACAACGCACATGCCTAAGCTGCTATTTTTCATGGTAAGTGACGTAAACCGGAGATCCTCTTTACTAGTTAAAGAGATATTCCATTCCATCTTAGTTCTCAGGGGTGATAACGTATCTGCGTTTTGATTCTTGACCGAAGTCTATGGGCACTAGCATACACTTTAAATCAGGTGGACTGTGTGCCTGTTTGTCAACCTTACATTGCCTCTCCATTCATTGCTTTTAGTCATAATACTATGTTAGGCCCGCCAGATATCTGCGGAATTCCGTTTCGAGATTGCGTTTCGGAATTCCGATTCGGAATTTCGAACGAAGCAAGTCGATATAAAATCTATGACCTTTCTCACACGTACGGTAGTTTTTCGTTCGAAATTTTGCGGGCAAACCGGGATTCCGTATGTGTGTGGCCGACCCGTTCGGAATTCCGTATGTATGTTTTTTTTTATAGGATAGGGTGACAAACGAGCACACAGTCCACCTGATGGTAAGTGGTTGCTGTGGCCCATAAATATCTACATTTATCCTCGTTTGCGAATCAAAATGCAGATGCGTTGTAACCCGTGAGGATTAAGATGGAATGCCTCTTTTCCAGTAAAAAGGGTCTCCGGTTCTTTACACTCACCATATGAAACACAGCAGTGTTAAGCTGCTATTTGACGCTGGTATTCTGTGAGAGCGTGGTCCTTCCCCGGTCAAGCCGAAACATTCGTGCTACAACTGTACTACTAATATAGCTGCAGCATGGCTCTACCACGTTTAATACTACGTATGTGGCTGGCCTTAAGCGTGAAAATTATTTTATACCTATCTAGTACTATAATAAGGGCTTACATTTTGAGGTAAAAGTTCTTTGTTTTAATAATGAACAATATAAAAAATATTGAATAGATCTTTACTATCTACCGACTTCAAAAAGGAGACGGTACTCAATTCGACTGTATTTTTTTTATGTGTGTTACCTCGTAACTTCTTACTGGTTGAACCGATTTCGATGTATTCTTTTTTTATTTGAAAGATGGTGCCTCACATCGATCAAGGTCTGACCAATATTTTTGAGTTATTCTTAATAATTATTTATATTGAAGACGGTTGCACAAAATTTTTAATTTTAAATTATGTATTTACAACTAGCTGCTAACCGGCGCGTTGCTGCCGCAGAAGAAATAATTACGGAAATGCCGTTTTAATATTATTTAATTGGGAATGATAATACATTTATTGAAGTTGAATGATATATTATAACGTTTAATTTATCGGTACATGCGCGCCACCGCTTATATGACACCAAGTTATTAAAGTTTTAGCGCAATCTGATGAACAGTATGGCAACGCATAAAATACGAATAAACAAAAAATATTTTTATATAATAAATAGTTCACTGTACAGGAAAACTGTGAAACATATTTAAATGGAAAATACACCAATCACATCACATAAATAGAAAATTGTATACCAAAGAATAATAAAAAATACAAATTAATCTTTCGGCTTATCCTGCTTATATTCTCGGGGTCGTGCCACTAATACAAGTCCAACCACAATGCAAAACACCCCCAACCACCATCGCAATGACGCACCTTCACCGAACACTGTGACGCCGATGATGCCCTGAAAATGTAAAGAATTCTTTTCTTCTTCTTTGTTAACCCACAAGTCTACTGCTTAACATAGGCATAATAGGGAAGTTGCCTCCTAAACTCAGCCTCTTTTATCTAAATACCACATATATGCTCCCCGTGGAAACCCCACCCCCCACCCCCCGAAAGAATTCTGAGTGCTGGCCCTGCCAGAATGTTCAAACACCATAGTCCGATACCCGATTTTAAACAAAGACCCTTTTTACTGGAAAAGAGGCATTCTATCTTAGTCTTCACGGCTAACAATGCATTTTAATTTGCAAACGAAGATAGATGTAGATGTCTATGGGCCACAGCAACCACTTACAATTAGGTGAACTGTGTGCTCGTTTGTCACCCTTATTCTATAAAATAAAAACTAAAAAACCATCCCGGACAATAACACCTCAAGCGTACTCCAGGACACAGAGCATACTACACTTGTTTGCAATTTATATGTATATCTATACGTGGTAGAGCCATGCTGCAGCTATATTAGTAGTATAGTTGTAACACAAACGGGTCGGCTCGACTGGGGAAGGACCACGCTCTCACAGAATACCAGCGTAAAATGGCAGCTTGACACTGCTGTGTTCCGTATGGTGAGTGTAGAGAAACGTAGACCCATTTTACTGGAAAAGAGGCATTCCATCTTAGTCCTCACAGGTGACGACGCATCTGCATTTTGATTCTTTATTGAGGATAAATGTAGGCACTTACCATCAGGTGGACTGTGTGCTTGTTTGTCACCCTATCCTATAAAAAAAAATTTAATTGCAGTGCCAAAGTTCTCGTACTTTTAATAACTCTGCTCTCCATCGCATCAGATTATTCTACATTTGGCATATGTGAGATAATTATGATGGGACTATTGTTTATCAGAAGCAATAAGATCTTTTTGGCGTAGCAGCACAGTGGACATTTCCTTACTTCAAAACCCTCTCAGAAATGAGAGACCTGTTCTCAAATGTTACTTTACTTTTTTACTTATACTATTAACCCACTACTTACAGACAGTATGTAGCTAGATGCAGCTGATATGACAGTAGGCGCTACAGAGTTCGTCGCCGCGTCAAGTGACCGCAGATAGTAACGACATCCCCAAGTGTTTGACATAACCATAGCAGCTAACAGTGAAATCCATATCACGTAACTATTGCCCTAAGAATTGTATATCATTACTGTGGTTTCAAGCATTAACTTTGTGTGTGTCTTATGCATTACAAGAAGTCAAAAAACAATCATTTTTCTGTTAACAAATTTAAATAGCTCAATATAGCTAAATATAACAATAGAGCATTGCAGTGGCCAGAGCAGTATTTTTGGCACTAGGTAGCTAGGTCTCTTTTTATATGTAGAACTAGCTGTTCTCTGTGACTTCATCCGCATTTAATTTAATAGAATTGGTTTTCATGGGTTTTAATTTTTTGCATGGGACCATAATTATTTTTCTAAAATAAAAGTAGCCTAAAGCCTTATTTGTGTATAGATGTTAAGTGTAAACTAACAAGCAAGAGCAAGTGTAAACTGATTATGGTTGTTAATAAAAAGTATAAAAAGTGCAGTAAACAATGCATAAATTACATTAAACATTTTTACTATTAATTACAGCCTATAAAAGTTCACTGATGAACAGATGTCTCACCATAAGGCTCGTAAGGGGATATTTGTCAAAGTTGCCACACACATGCAGATTGGCAACTGCAGTTTCCTAGCTGTTATTAGAAGGATGCTCCTGCACGCTCGCTGCTCACAACTCAACAAATCAGGTATTGGGTTCCTCTGTCAAGAAATTCTTAGTAGCAGCCCAAGTCAAGATACTGGTAGTTACACCCACCCCAGGCCTTAATTTACTTAAGGCCTGGGATGGGTGTAACTAAGCTGTTGGCCTTGTATGATGTGATGGAATAGAGAGTACATCTGTGCCGACTCATGCACTATATATTATATATACACATTATTATTGAAAGGGTTATTAACATTTTGATTCTTGGAACATCACTAGCATATAAAAAATATCAATTTTACTATCGTAGTACATAACTTTAATCAATATAATTTTGTTTATATGGATGGACGCAAGAAGTAGAACTAAAACTAACTCAGGTGTTACTTTGTACTCACTACAACAACTGGCGTCCCTGATAGTTTTCCTAAAGTACTGCCTATTGACGCCCATACACCTGCTAAAAAAGCTTCATGAAACATTATAAGATAATAAGAAACGTATATTCCTTCAATCATACATCAAACTATTACCCAAGAGAATTTATTCTCGCGGTTTATTAATGTAGCGTGTAGCCTATTTTTTCATACGATCTACTTAAATCAACTGTAATCAAAAACTAAATGTTAATAATAAAAAAATGAATATAATTGAGATGTTAGTTATTATCATAGATAAATATATATGTAGCAAGCTATTGTTATATCCAGGGTTGCCAACTTTATTTTTTAGGAGATCGTACCATAAACTGAAAAAGATCGTATTTTGTTAAGAACTCAACAAAAAAGATAGTACGCATCAATATTTCAATAAAATAATGGTAAAAAAATACAAAATAATATTATTATAACGTCAAAGCAAAACTTTACATTTAGAGTACATATTATAACCATATAACAATTAAGTTGTTTTTATTATTCGCTCGAAAGAGCAGGCAAAGGAACTATGCCATACAGCCTTGTCTTTTTTATTTTGAGTACATAGAATTTCACTAGTTCACAATATGTTGATGCGTCACATTGTGCAGCCCTTGGGAGATTTTGACGGCAACTTGAGCCAGCAGACAGCTGACTGTTGGCGATGGTATCTAAAGGCGCCTATGCAAACAAACAGCTTATCTTGAGAATCCATCACCATCAGCGCACTTGTTTCACCATTTCTACTAATAGTTCACATGCGTAGACAGTTAATACATAAAATCGCACCACTTTTATAAATCAAATTCCACTTCAAACTATTATTTAAACTATAATACAGGAGCAGCAAACCGCCGCCGGTCAAGTTCCCGCCAAAACTCTATAACAATTAAGAATCTGACACTAAACTTTACTACTTTTTTTTATTAAAAAAAATGGGATCGGATTGTGTTCACTCTGCCATCTTTTACAAAAAATATGTAATATATGATTATCTGCGTAGGTAGTTTAATATTATTTCGATTAGAACGAATAGAATGACTTAAAATTGACTCGAAGAAAGGCGGTTAAGGTGAAAGCTTCCGGCGGTTAAGGTGAAAATCCCTTTGACTGAGTTTTTCTGGAAATAGCCATACAATGGGATTATACGAACTTAGAGGGTTGTATTGACGATTATAATTCTGTAAACGCATTACTCGCTACGACCGCGAATCATATTTTGTTAAACATATAACCTGACACTGACCTGCACATTGCAAAAAAACGTAAGAAAATTTGAATTTCGCGGGCTACCCTGTAGCTTCTTCCTTAAACTGCGCGAGGAATAGAGAGTTTAAAAAATTATTGGATGGAAAGAAGAAGTTTAGAGCTCGTTCAATTTTGAAATTATTGATTTTTCATATCGATAAAATGAACTTAATCAATTATCGTTTTTATTTTGTTATAAAGATTATAAGATTTGAAAAGATCGTATATTTTGGGTACGATTTCGAATACATGATCGTACATCGTACTAGGGCCAAATAGATCGTATGAATACGATTTAAATCGTACGGTTGGCAACACTGGTTATATCTATCTTCTTAATAACTGGCTTTACGACTCTGGGTTCTAGCCCTTCTGAGCCTGAAGTTACAATGTATAATAAGTATCCTTCATAGTACACTGCTTCACAATATGTTGATGCGTCACATTGTGTAGCCCTTGGGAGATTTTGACGGCAACTTGAGCCAGCAGAGCAGGGCTGCAAGATGAACGATTTAAATCCTACTCCTACGATTTTTTGGCGTTTTCACTCATGTACGATCGCTATACCAAGATCGTACGCAAAATGTACGACTTTTAAAGATAATTTAATATTTGGAAACATTTCATATACTTAGCAACATTTCATAATAAAACGAACGTGCCCCATCGACAAGTATAAGTTATATTCGGGGGTTATATATAAGTTATATATATTCCTCAACAATCTTTTGAGTGCCTAAATCTTTTACTTGAATTGTTTGAATTATTATGGCGCAACACGTGTTGCCGACAAATGTTTCTGTAATCACCTAGTTTTAGCAACAAAACGAAACTATGTCGGGAATCGTGTTTCCATTTTCGGCGGCAACATCAAAGGAATACGCTTGTTGCCGACATTTGTTCCCTCGGTGGAGACGCTTCCTGCAACATTTTGAAACAAATGTCGTCAACTTTTGTTCATTTGTCAACAGTCGGAAACATAAATGTTGTCAACATTTTTGGTGGAGACGCGTCTTTATAAAAATAATTATTTTTCTCTTTCGGTAATAAATGCGACTTGTCAAAAACCAGTTTTTCTTATCAGTTTAGTCTCATTCTGTATCCTGTTCAGAGTTCTTTTTTGTGTTAATCTAATTACTTCAAGCAAGAATAAGTGAACATACCAATGCTTTGCAGTGAACAAATTTTTGTTAGTTAGAATAAAAGCTATTTACTTTTAGATTGTACGATCATTTTATTTCAAAATCTCTCTGACATACGACTTTTTTATATTTGGCGTACGATCACGCGTTTTTTCCATCTGGCAGCCCTGCAGCAGACAGCTGACAGTTGGCGATGGTATCTCAAGGCGCCTATGCAGTATGGAGTGTAGAGTAGAAGGAGAACCATCTTATAAGGTGCGAAAGTTGAAAAAGTGTCCCAATATATACGGAAAATAGAGGTTCCAAAACCTACCACAATAGCGCTGGCGTCTGAAAAACTACGATATGAATATAGCTGTTGTAGACGGAGTGAAGTCAGCTGAATTAAAATATTTAAAAAATTTCATGACTAGAGTAGTTAGTAAAATGCCAGTATACAAAACCTCAACTATTTACGTAGTACAAAACCAAGCGGATTGGTCGGTCCTTGTTTATTACTCCATCTTATTCTAATAAATTTTGGCGCTATTTTTTTAATTTATCCTTTGCTACTGCAGCGCCACCCTTATTGGACGCGTTTTTAGGGACACTTTTCATATACAGAGATGGTCCTCCTTCTACTCTTGTCGTGAAGCGACAATTAAAAAAGTATAGAACCTAACCTAAGTACAACAAAACAACAAAAGTAGAGCCAGAAAACAATATATTTAAATTTTTAAAAGGTATTTACAATTTTATAAAAAAAATGAAATGAGGATGATGATGAATGAAGTGAGAGTACAATTAGATTACAAAAAAATAAAGGTAGGAGAATAGGGGAATATAGAGTTGTAGTGGAGCCTAAAAGTCGAAGCGACACACGTTGCGATTGTAGAGGTAGGTTTCTTAACAGCGACGGCACGCAGCGCCTGAAGCCAGCACACGCCGGTTGCGCTTGTAGAGGTAGGTTTCTTAGCAGCGACGGCGCGCAGCGCCTGGAGCCAGCACACGCAGCGTCCGGAGCCGGCGCACGTAGCGCCTGGAGAAGGGGCGCTCAACGCTTAGAGCCAGCAGTTGCAGCGCCCAAAGGTAGCGCCGGCGGTAGGTGCACTCGGCGCCTGGAGTAGTGTGGCCCCCGCGCCTGAAGTAGACTGCCGACGACTTCCAATGTAGATGGAGGCTTGTAGGATTCAGGAGTGGTGCGGCTCCGCGCTTGAAGAAGGCTTCGCCGAAGACTTCACGTGTAGGTGAAGGCTTGCAGGATCCCGGGGCAGTGCGGCCCCGGGATAAGGCCTTTAGGAGATACTTCCAATTCGCGAACTGAAGCGAGACTGCCTTTCTTCACCGATTGTTCGACTTTTATACCTTTCTAGAGAGAACGGAAAAATTATTTAAATTAAACGAAAATTTTTTGTAAATGGTCAAGAGAAAAAAGTATTTATGTGGAATTATCGAAATAGGAACAACAGATCGGTAGCAAATTTGAATATAATTACTATAGCAACGAAATAAATAACAATATCAAAACATGTCAAATTTTGGTTTTAGGTTTATAATAAGAAAACGGTAAGATTTAAGTGGAAAATGAGATATTATTGATATAGGAAAAAAGGTAGCGCAGCTGCCCACACAAAGCCCAAGATTGTAGAGTTACGGAAAACTAGCTAAAAGATCGAAAAAAGGTAGACTCCATTGACACCAATTTAAAAGTGCTGATAATGTGAAAATACGAAGTAGAAATGATTTGTTATTGTGTTCTTATGGTTTAAAATCGTTACAGGATCCTATGGAAATAAAGGTGATGTAAAATATCCAGTTTTGAGGTGAATGCAGAAAATCGAAACAGAATGGAAAAATGAATTTAAAATAATGTAAAATGATATGTAAGTAGCATAACACTACACTCTACACTCCATACTATGCAGACAGACACCTTATCTTGAGAATCACATCACCATCAGAGCACTTGTTCACTTGTAGCAATAGTTCACATGCGTAGACATTTAATATACAAAATCGCACCACTTTTACATATCGAAATCTACTTCAAACCATTATTTAAACAATAATACAGGAGCAGCAATACGTCGCCGGCCAAGTTCCCCCCAAAAACCTCGGCTTTATCATAAACACAGACTAATTATGTATAGTAGATTCTACATTCTACCGAATATAGTAAATTTTTTTATGATTACTGGCTAGCTTAAAGTTTGACATTTTTTACTTTTTAGTTTTTAATTTTCTCTGTCTACGTTTTTATAATATATATATATATATATATATATATAGCATAGTTTTATATTTATTTTTATAAATGGCTTTTCAGCTCTGGGTTCTAGCCCTTCTGAGTCTGAAATTACAATGTATAATTATCCTTCATAGTACACTGCTTCACAATATGTTGATGCGTCACATTGTGCAGCCCTTGGGAGATTTTGAGCCAACAGACCTTGCTACATATTTATTTATCTATGCAACAGACAGCTGACAGTTGGCGATGGTATCTCAAGGGGCCTAAGCAGATAGACACCTTATGTTGAGAATCACATCACCATCAGAGTACTTGTTTCACTGTTTCCACTAACGGTTAACATGCGCAGATACTTAATACACAAAATCGCACTATAGTAGTATTATCACCGAACGCTGAGAGGTAGACTGAACCTAAAAGTTAGGTTGGAGAGTTCACGTCTAATG